AAATATGTTTTGGATAAATCACACTCCCCAGTACCCCTCCTCCCCAGCAGATCTGGCTCTAGTCCAGTTCTAGAGTTGCATGCTCAGCCTGTCAATTTCAATACTTTGAGACCTACCCTGAAAGTTCAGTTTGGCCCTGAGGTTATCCTTAGTTGTTGGATCCCTGGTTCATTGAGGCGTGTAGGTTTGTTCACACATGAGCCTGGAAATGCAGTTCAGTCTGGACCTCTTAGTGTACTGCACTCTTAACCAAAGATATGTATACGAACCCCTAAGTCAGCCCAAGAATCAACTTAGAGGATCTTTTTAATTTACCAATTAAACAAGTATGTACATGTACCCTCTATGGCAAGATACTATGATTTTTTAACCTTAAACATTATGTCCTGAGAGGTTCACCAGACCACATCTGTCTCCTCTGCACATTCCCAATCATTTTACTCATCAGGTTTTTTATGATTACTTATTGAATCATTTATCTTCCCTTCTATTCTATATGCTGCAGGAGGGCAGGGAACATATCCATTGTTCACCAGAATTTCTCAGCAAAATACCATACATACTTGTTTAATGTACTAGGGGTGCCTGGGTGGCTCAGTCAGTTGAGGGGCCAACTCTTGGTTTGGCTCAGGTCATGATCTCAGGGTGAGCCTGAGCCCCGCACTGGGCTCTGCACTCAGCAAGGAGTCTGCTTCTCTCCCTCTCCCCCTCCCCTCACTTGCACACGCACTCACTCTCTCTCTAATAAATAAATAAATACAATCTTTAAAAAAAATTTAATTTAATGTACTAATATAAGATACAGCCCCTGTATATCCTTTAAGTGTTTATAGTCTATAAGTCTGATAAAAAATGCAGACCCAGTACAGATTCAACCTCTACATATACAAGGCAATAAAGTTTACATGGTTTTTATTTCAACTTATTTGTCTCACTATGTTTTCTCAGTTACAAGAAACACTGCTATTTTGCAGTTAACACTTTCTATTCCCTCTTCCTGGTGCCTAATGCCATAATACACTTAATAATAGGGATTGCTTTAGATAGGACTATGATATTCTCAGGAAGATTTGCAAATGTCAAGGAACCCAGAGGTAAAGCAGCATGGGGTGATGATACCTTCATAAACTTTATTCTGCTAGAGAATCACCATAGAAACATAGTACTTTGGAGAAGATTGGGGGTAGCATGGGGGAGGAGGAGGAGGAAACATATAAAATGATTACCCTTGATTCTTTCTTTTTTTTCTACACATATAGTTTTCTAGTATAGTATTTTTTATATTATACATCTATTTCCTGCCTTGTAAATTTAACAACTTATGTGATTTTGTCCTTAGATACTTTACTAAAATGCACATTTTTATGACTGTCAAGTGTTTTGTCCCATGGATATACCATTACCTATACTATTCACTCCTTATTGTTGGACGTCAGAATTTTTACTCTTAAGAAATTAATCAGAGGGTCACGTGGGTGGCTCAGTTGGTTAAGCATCAGCCTTCCACTCAGGTCATAATCCCAGGGTCCTGGGATCCAGCCCTGAATCAGGCTCCCTGCTCAGCGGGGAGCCTGCTTCTCTTTCTCCCTCTGCCTGCCTCTCTGCCTACTTGTGCTTTCTCTCTCTGTCAAATAAATGGATGAAATCTTAAAAAAAAAAAAGAAAGAAAGAAAGAAAAAAAGAAATTAATAATAAAGAACTGCCTTTTCAAATTACTGTGCTCTGATCTGATGCAAACGATCCCACCCCATCCCCTTCTACAAATACTACTCCCAGTTCACGTCATTAAAATCTGGTCTGTTAGTAAGCTTTCTAGGAGATCCTACCGAGCACAATATAAATTCCACGCACTCAAGCAAATAAATGGCTGTATTCATGACTGATGTACGCAATTGATAACAATGTCGCTTTTTTGACTACAGAGTCTTTTTAAAATTTAACTTTTGGGGGCGCCTGGGTGGCTCAGTCGGTTAAGTTTCTGCCTCCACTCTGGGATCGAACCCCGCATCGGGCTCCCTGCTCGGCAGGAAGCCTGCTTCTCCCTCTCCCACTCCTCCTGCTTGTGTTCCCTCTCTCGCTGTCTCTCTCTGTCAAATAAATAAATAAAATCTTTTAAAAAATTTAACTTTTATTTGTACTAAAGTAATTTTATATTGTTTAAAATGTAAAATAATTCTGATGATTTTAACAAAAAACTGTGGTCCTCTGCCTTTCCTCTCTTCATAGGCAACCAGTTTCAATTCTTTTGTTTCTTCCAAAATTTATCTCCGTATTTCTTTTTTTTTTTTTAGATTTTATTTACTTATTTGACAGAGAAACAGCGAGAGCAGGAACACAAGCAGGGGGAGTGGGAGAGGGAGAAGCAGGCTTCCCGCTGAGCAGGGAGCCCGATGAGGGGCTTGATCCCAGGACCCTGGGATCATGACCTGAGCTGAAGGCAGACGTTTAACTGACTGAGCCACCCAGGCGTCCCTATCCTGCAATTTCTATCCAATCACTCCCTTTAATCTTCATTCTTGAATATCAACAGCGACCTAGTTGCCAAATCCAATGACCTTTCCTCAATTTTCATCTACTCATTTTGTCAAAATATTAGATAGATGATGAAATAATTACAAAAAAACCTGAGTGAAATAATTACAAAAAAACCTGAGTAAAATAATTGCAAAAGTGCAAGGGAGCAGATCTGGTGAACCTCTCAGGACATAATGTTTAAGGTGACCACTCACAGTACCTTGACATACAGGGTACTTGATTACACACTTGTTGAATTGGTACTCAATTCTTATGCTGACCCAGGGATTTATATAAAATCTTTGTGAAGACTACAGTACATTAAGTACACTAAGAGATCCAAACTGAATTTTATTTCCAGGCTTACATGTGAACAAACCTACGCCTCTCAATGAACCAGAGATCCTTAGGGATCCAACAGACAGAATAACCCAGAGCCAAACCGAACTTTAAGGGCAGGTCTCAAAGTATTGAGTTTCACAGGCTGAGCATGTCTAGTCTAGTTCAGTCTAGTCTAGAATCAGACTAGAGCCAGATCTGCTCTAAAGGGTGCAGTAGTGGGGAAAGGGTTAGATTTATCTAACAACTAGGTGAGCTATAATTTGGTTAGATATGGTATTAGGTAAAGAAAGACAAAGCGATGTTTTATTGTTTTAATATGGCAAGGTCTTATGCATGTTTACAGACTGTAGAGAATGAGCCAGAAGGGAATGAAGCTGAAAATGAGGAAGAGGCAGAGAGAGAGAGAAAGAATATTGCTGAGGCCAGGTCACAAGAGATGATGGGATCCAGAGCCCTCTAGGGAAGCCAAATTCTCTGCAGAGTTGGAATTGAGTGAAGTTGAGGAGAGAATTTTCCCTTTACTTTTACACTCTGGTATCTGTCTAAATTTTAAGATAATGGGTATTGACTATGTATTCATTTTATAATGGAAAAAATTTGAAAGAGCTCAGAATTTGGTTTAGATAAGATACATAAAAAAAAAAACCTGTTCAGCTCACATGATCTCCCCCTCCTGCTTTAGTCAGTACCTCTAGCTTATATATGCTAGTTTTCTTGTTTTGCAAAACTATGTTAATATCTCAAAGGCAAAAGTTATGGCTCATTTTGTATCTTACTGTAGCTCTTCATTTAGTGAACACAAGATGTGCTCAATAAACATCAAAAAACACAGATTGGGAAAGTGTGCTACAGATGACATTAATATAATCAAAAGATAGCTATTTTGATACATATGGGAACTTGTATATGATAAAGCATGCACTTTAAAATCATTGAGGGAAATATAGGTAATTCAGTATACAGTAGTGTTGGGAGAGTTCGATGTGCATCTGGGAAAAAGTAAAGTTGGGATTCACATCTTGTATTTTGTACCAAAATAAATTCCTGTGTAGAAAAAATCATGGGATTAAAAAAAAAAAAAGCTTGGGGTGAGGAATGCCTCTCTAAATATGACAAAAATGCAGAAGCACAGAGAAAAATATTGATCAATTTGACTTGAAAAAAAATCTGCCTGGAAAAAATATCATAAACAAAGTCAAAACACAAATGAAAAATGTGAAAATATCTGCAACTCATATCACAGACCAAGGACTATTTTCCTTAATAAAGAACTTCTTTTTTTATTTTTATTTATTTATTTATTTATTTTTTAAAGATTTTATTTATTTATTTGACAGAGAGAGAGACAGCGAGAGAGGGAACACAAGCA